CATTATTGACTCCTGCGAAGCTCTTAGTGAATTCGTAAAATCCAAATTAGCTTGTAAATGAAGCTATTTAAAAATTTGGTTTCAAGTAGAACATACGGTTGACGGAAACCCGGGGACTGCGCCTTCCTGATGAGCCCCAAAAAGGGCGAAACCGGAATGAATGAGTACACTTCAAACACTGTCTAAATACTCAACGCCCTCATGTTGGACAGTTATTGCAAACTAGCGTAATACGCAGTTGCACTGGGAACCCAACTGGAAAGTGTCGATGGGCGGGACAACAGGTCACGATTCGCTGGGTCAGAAGGTCTGAATTGGATCTGAGAGATGATGTATGTCTCAAGGGATGAAGCAAAATATACACAGTGATTTTTGTCGGTTCGTGTGCATGACACCGGTTGATCGACTTGGTGCTTTGGCTAACAGCGCAATTTCTACTCTTCGGCTGCTCGCAGTGGAGGCCAAACGGGAAAGTTCGGAGTAAAATTCAACGATGCACAGCGACTTGGCTGGGTTGGCCGTTTAGAGATGCCCACCTCGTTTGCAGCCGTTACCTCTCGGATCAGTTCCCAGCAATGAGTTTCATTACCGACTGGAAGCTCAGGTTATTTCCCCTCATATGATAAAACTACATGTCAGTACACTTTCGTCCAAATAAGTGCGTCTTGAATGAGAAAAATTGACCAAAAGTTGTATCAGAATGCTGTTGGTTACGTTTACAAGCTTTCCAACCGCGCAGATCTTTCATCTTACGGGGCTGAGATGTTGTCATCCAAATACTCATGAGGTTTCTTAAAATCCAGACTACTCAAATGTCTTCATCGACTTTGCATGTGGTGTCAAACTGAAGAAAATCTGTTTCGGGATCTCAAGTGTCGTTTCAAGTGAAGCGCAAAGCAAAATATGACTCAATTATTCAACCGGTGAGGACTATTTTGATTTGTGAATGAGCGTTTGCAAGGCCGGAACTTTCACAAGCGTACGAAGAGGACAGTAACGGTACTCATCCAACTGTTCCGTCAGCTGTTCGCATAGTCAGTTCATGGTTAGGACGTGGAAATCGACACGTTTCCACACAAGCGAAAATACATCTGTCAAAGTTCACTTCGGGATAAGGTGAAGATTTGAATCGCAACTTTACTGGCCTTAACGGGACAAGCCAAACCTAGCGTGAAGGTTTTTCAATGTTGTTCGAGGTTGTCGTTCAAGGCTGTTTAAACAAATTAGGCCCGAAGCACCGAATCATCGTGCAGATGTATATTTTTACTATGCTTTCGCTTCGTTTGTTTGTAGGCAAGCGGAGTGGTTAAGTGGATGGCACACAATATAACCTTGGAGCATTTGTGTACTGTTATGGGATTCGTGGGAAGTATAAAGCTATGTAATTCAGTATATGGAGAGGGCTAGCGAACATACTTCTTGGATAACACTTTAGTGGCGACGGGTGACCTTCACTCGACACCAGTCGTACTGTAAGACAACGCTTACCCAAAAAGTCATCTATGGAGTATTGCTTTTTGTCCTCCCCCAGCACCATCTTGCCAGCGTTGCGGGACAAGGGTCGAATGTGGTTTAGTTTGTCTCTAGTTTTGCTTCACGCGTCGAAACAGTTGGCTCCGAAACATACGGTAGAACGAATCGTGGATTTAATGGGTCACATAGGCTTACGTAGACCAAAACTTTCAGAAAACTGCCTTGATAACACGCACAGCCAGTGGTGAAATGATGACGGACGAGATCAGGCTGAACGTGAAACCATCAAACTACACATCCCCTTCGAACAGAATTCGAGATAAAGGAAATTGCTCACAAGGTTGTTGAAAACTCTTCGACAGCCCACGACCGGTTTCGCTCTTTTTAGGGCACATCAGGTAGGCGCAGTCCCCGAGTTTCCGTCAACCTAATGTTCTACTTGAACTCTCGATAGTTAAGTTGAAAGGCTGTAACTCACGGACCGGAAGGTCTGTGGTTAGAATCCAGCGCCGGTATCTCCAATCCTCCTGTGTAGGCTGAAGCAAACTGACAGTGTCTCGACCCTTGAGCTTCTTTCTTGGCAGCTATGTACAGCTAAACGTTTACTAGTATTCTTTGTTTCGGACCCGACCTAGGATGTGACATTACTTGGCAGTTGTTAACTTCCATCGGTTCACGTTCGCCACATGTGACCTACTGTTTAACCGTTAGTGAATCGTGGGGTGGAAATATCGCCCAGGCTCCGCGATGGCATGTGCTAGCACGAATGCCCTTTTATGTTCACGCAAAGGGTAAACAGCTAGCCTTGAGATATTTCGTCTTATATCCCCGTAGAATTTCAATGATTAGACCTATTCCGTCTTGATCACCACACATACACTCACCGTATTTCTGCCATCAGCAATACATGGCACTGGCTAGTATGTGAGCAATGAAAAAATGTCACAAAAATGATGAGATCGATTGCCCGGTGATACGGGATCGGAAAAACTGAACTACTAGCCCTTAGTTTAACTGTCAACATTCTCAAAATCTTGGATTCCATTCTAACCTCGAACCTTTGGGTGACCGGGTCTGAGAGCAGCCCTCAATCCATAGTTGTGAGTCACTGCAGCGAACCATCGATGTGTCAATATGAAAACCGATGAAGGCAACATATCGTTCTCACTACTGATTACAGGAAAGAGATGCCTTCATACGAAACAAGATAAGTAACTTCAGTGTCGTACGATCCTTCGCGAATAAGATGTATATACATGCTTGGTTTTTCGAAGAAGGCGCTTTCTCGGTACCGTGGGGATATGTACATTTCAAAAAAAAACATTCTGCTGTGAAAATCTGCTGCTTGCTTACACTCCTTGTGGGTGTGTTCTCTACACCCAGATGTTAAAATATTTCCAAACTGAAACTTGAGCCAAACACTTGTGTGCATAGGCATTCCTAACCGACTAGACCCACAAACCGAGGGCCTTCGACAGGCGGGAAATTAAAGGCTAAAAACTAACTGCGCGTAACTTAATTCACAGTTTACTTTTGCATCCGAGATGAACTTCCTCAATCACTGCTTTATATCCGTTTCCGATTGATTTCCACTTGTTAATATGGACAGTAACAACCCAACCTTACACAACGCAGATTAGTTCAAGCAGCGGTATGAAAATGAGTGCTCGTTGGACATTTTAAAGTTCGCATTCTTTTTGTGACATGACAGGTGGGATATGATGATGATGATGATGATGATGATTCCTCTCACATGTCCCAGATGGAGATCCTTGGTGATTTCCCGGGAACGATATTCGTTTGCAATCATGCTGTCGGCTGCTTTTACATGTAAACACTCTAGACACATCTGTTGGGAATCATTTTGAAGAAAGTTTTTTTCGGGCTCGTCAAACCGGTATATAGTTGGATCTCGTGGGACTTGTGTATCAAGCTACAGTGCGCGCTGTTTTGTTGTATGGCTGTGAGACTTGGCCTGTTCGAGCAGCGAAAGTCAGGCGTCCTCAGGTATTCGTTGATCGTCGTCTCAGAACCGTAGCTCATGTGAGTTGGCGTCGGCGAATTTGTAACGAGGCGATTATAAATCGAGTTTTTGGTTGTGCAACGGGTACTTCCATTAAAGAATGTGCCCAGAACCAGAAGCTGAGTTGGCTGGGACATGTGTTGCGTATGCCGAACCATCGTTCACCTAAGAGAGTGCTCTTTTCCATGCCCAATTCAGAGTGGCGTAAGCAGAGAGGCAGAGGAATATGAAAGAAATCACGAAACGTTTGAATGCTGTCGGTGCGATTCGCTTTCCAGGATGGCGACCGCGTGATCCTCACTGTGACTGGTTAAAGACACTACAAGATATGGCAGCCAACGGATGTTAGTGGTGCTCTTGTCGTCAGTTTCTATCCAGACCGCCTGAGTGAGTGTCTGTGGGTATAGGCACCTTGGGATGATTGTGGTAAGCTAGCACCAAGTCCCCTCTCCGTCCACCTTTATTCTTTTCTTCAAAATAAGGCTTTCAAATAAATCATGGTTGTACGGCAGTGAAGCATCGGTTTTGAACACTGGTGTCATGCTGTCGATAATGATGATGATGGTGATAATGATGATGGTGATGCGATACCGGACGGAAAACATGCTTGGTCAACGGTATCGCGTGACACCTTCATTACGTCTTCATCACACGTTTTAAAATTTACCCGCACTTCAGCTCCTTCATCACAGTTCGCTAAATCTTTCCAATTATTCATATTCTGAGAACAATGCTCAGCTGTTTTGTTCGTTCAAATGTCATTTCTCAAATTTCGCTTTTGGTTTGCTTGAGAGGCAGTCGTCTTGTTTGACTGGCATGCAAGGAATTTGGTGCGTGTGTTCGCGTCAAAACGGAAGATAAAGGCAGTGCTTGAAACGGTCACATCTGATAGAATGTCCGTGTGCCGCACGGCACTATGCATTAGGCAAGCAGGCTTCAAATGTTTCCAAATGAGAATTGTTCCTTTCCTCCTTGTTCAGAAATAATGACAGATGGGTATTAATGCATTCAGCGTACACAAGACAACTCCGCTCTTCACTGTGTTCAAATGCCTGTGAGGTTCCGCGTTAAACAAACAAGACACATGAGGTAAACAGGCGTGGACAGAAAGGCAAAGTTTACTCATGTTTACATGAAAAGAAATCAACCATCTACCCCAACAAACTACTTAATAAAATAAAAGATTTCTTGACTGGCCGCTTTGTTTGATCAAGGCATTCTAATCAGTGCGCTCTCCCATAGGCGCACACCTTTCCACCAGTCGTATTACTCAGTTCACGATGACATACAAACTGGAAGCTTATCGGAACTCTGATTTACCGCGTAATAATGTTTGATTTTTATTAGTGTACAAGTTTCATTGTGCGTTAAACGGCTTTACACATTTGTAGCAAACCGGATAATGGCGGTGGTTAGTCGATAAATCACCATTGCAGCTCTACTATTAAGACACTAGCCTGGGATTTCCGTCCATTAATCACCTGGTTTCTCGCTTTTTTGATAGCTGGTACTTCAGAAGCATTTCCAGGAAGGATTCGGAACGACTGTTACTACTTAAAGGTAACATTCGTGGTACATTTCTCATCCGAGCAAGTGAAACCACCACTGGTGAGTCGGCGTTGTATGCATTTATGATGAAATCATTGAAATCGTAAATGAATTTCGCCACCAACTACATCACATCAGACTTTTTTAATCAGACTGCGGAACGCCTCTGACTTTACTAGACTATCAAGGCTTCAAAGCGGGAGGCGTTCCAGCTGTTGTCATGCTCCTAGTCATACATGGAACCGTACTATATTGAGATTCCCTTTGAGGATTTATCCAGACAGCGTCATCTGGCTAGGCAGTATGGTTTGGCCCAATGTACCCACCACGCTCGTGAATGTATTCTAATGTTGGCTCCATTTGTTTATGTCAGTCTCACTTGTCCTTTGTTTTCAAAACCAGTATTCATACAATTGGGGTACCGCTGTTCAGCGAAGCGTGAAACAATGACTTCTGTTTACCCGTTTCTATTCCCGCCCCCTCGTCCGGCCGGTTTGCTTACAACGGACGAATGCTACCCGTTTACAACCAGGTCACTTCTCTTTCACTTCACTTCCTTGGCTTGAGTGACCACCCACGAGGCGACAGGTGAAGTGCCACGGTTAGATGAACACATATGAGAATTTCAATTCATTTTGTTCCTTTGTACCGGTGTCACTCACGACCCAGATTTAATCCAGTCTGCCGATCGTGATGCACAGAGTTTGTCTGTCCACATGGCTTGCTCGACTTGTGTGATCAGCTGTTGCACAAACCAACAGCTGATCACCATTTCTTCCCACACAGGATAATTCCTGTTTCCCTGGTGCGTAAGGTGTTCGTGTCCGTGTTCAATTGGTCTACAGATAATGGATTTTTCATGCACATGATAAAACGCGCCTTACAAACAAGTCTCACTTAATCAGAAAAAACAAAACGACGAAACGTCCATTTGGGCAAATTGTTCGGCGACTCCGAATCACAGCGGGTTGTGCAAGGAACGTTAGCTAGGAGAAAACCAGACTACTTTCCACATTAGATACAATTAAATTTTTTTGGGAGGAATCAGGGAACGTTTATTAGGTGTGTAGTATGTAGGCACTTTTTCTGAGCCTGATTTATATACAAATATCGAAATCGTCCAGCTGTGGCACACTTTCGGTGCCTAAATGCTACGCGACCCGAAGGTTGCACGAGGGCTGGGATACTGCCAGGTTGCCCAAGCCTAGACAGGGGAAGTCGAGAGGCAGAGATCGGGTTAGAACCACGGACCTTCCGGTCAGTGAATTCGCCCTCTAACCACTTGGTCCATCTCGCCCTTATATACAAATATGCATATATGTATATGTCTGTATAGGTGTATAAGTAGAAATATATACAAACTGCATATATATATATATATACAATTTTTCCGGCACATATATCGGGTAGCAAAATGCACGGTCTGTGAAATCCAGTGTAACCGCATACATACCATTTGTGTTCAAATCTACCCTGTTTAATGCTTTATTCGAGATCCAGTAGACTGTGCTTGCGATGTCCAAAATCCCAAACCAGCCGTGCATTACTATCCTACAAAATTTCCAAACAGAATATCTGTTTTTGGGGGTTTGCGGGATATGTATTGTTCATATTGAGGGCGAGATGGCGTAAGTGGTTAGAGCGCGAATTTACTGATTGGTAGGTCCGTGGTTCAAACCCGAGCTCTCCCTGTCGACTTCTCGTCTAGGCTTTGCAACCTGGCATATCCCAGCCCTCGTGCTTCCTTCGAGTGGAAAGGCAGCTAGGCACCAAAAGGGTGTTAAATGTGAATGATTATCTTATTATCATCGTTCATATTCACATCACTCTCGTTTGAACTGTCATCCTCCTGTTCTGGCGTAATTATTCTGATGAACCCACCATGAAAGGAAGCACTGTACTCAAGTCTCGCCCTTATCAGAGCTCATCAGCAGTGCATATCCAATGGCTGTGCCGGGATTCGAACCCCGGTCATCTGACATGGGAGGCGAATGTGTTATCAATACTCCACCAACTTCCGATGAGTCGGGCACACCAATCACATCGCTCAAGTGTGAACACGCTCTACCGTTCAGACGTGAAAATTTCAAATGCGTTCACCCTGCGCTCGTGGAGTAGTGGATACACGCTCGTCTCACATGTGAGGTGTCCGGAGCTCAAACCCCGGCACGGCCAGTGGATATGCATTGCTGATAGGCTCTCATGAGAGTATACTGCTTCCCTCCTTTGGTGTGGACTTACCAGAAGAAGTATGCCAGGATAGGAGGACGACTGTTCGAACGAGAGTGATGTGAACATGAAAAAGACAATCGTCATCGCGGCCATCTACCCGTGTAACGGTGATACTACTGATGGGGTCACGCGAGTAGTACGTTTTCTCGTAAATCCGCCTTGCGTCTCTTGAGTAGTGAGATCTCTTACGGAATTTGTGGAGTCGCTCTGTAGCATATGCTTGCAATTGAGTATTAGTCAATGAATTCCAAGGAAAGTTCAGGACGACTGGTACGAGGAGAAGATGGCTATTCAGTTTTGTAAACAAGATGCGTATGAGAGTTTTGCTCCCCTGTCCAATAGTCGGTAACTATCCAGTTGGTGTTTCTCTAATAAGCAACTCCTCGCCGAAGGCCTTCGTCCTCTCATCCGTAGCTCGGGTGAATTCGTTGCTATTTGTGCAGATGGTTGTTGATCTGTTCGCCGACCTTGGCAACTGGAAGGAAGGCAAGGGATTTTTCATAATGATTGGATTGCTCCTACAAATCTTGGGTAGGTGTGCTAACGAGCTACTGGTAGGGTCAAGATGTTTGAATATGCTGGACAAGTCGACCTAGCACACGAAACTAGCATGGTTGGACGAGTGAGTGCTTTCACCGCTTCTTGTTTCTTCAACTGTGGGAATTGAAGTTTTCGGGTTGTAAAATAATAGATGTTCGTTTTGATGGCTGGTATCCGTGCCACCTGTAGGAAGCACGATTGCTGGGATTCTGCCATGCTGCCCAACCCTGGGCAGGAGAAGTCCAGATTCCGCGTTCGGGTCACGAACCTTCCAGTAACTTAACCACTGAGCTGCCTGGAGCTGTACGATTCTACAGACGGGAGATCGACACCACGACCAATATTTTTTTGTTGATCGAATCCGTGTCACATTCGGTCATCTGCAGTTCATTCTAATTCTATTGTTCCATCAGGACAGACTACGCAGCTTTTATAAACTTTCCCTCTGGATGGTTGTTTTCTCTGGCACACTTCTGCATACTTCAGCTGTCCATTATTTGTTCCATTGCTGCATGTTGCGTTGATGTATGCACGGCAGCTGTTCTTCTACCGGATTACCAGATTGATGCTCAGTTGGGATTGCGCATTCTTTAGGTACACGAAAAATGCCGCTACGAATCATTTGTGCTGTCACACATGTCTTGGTCTGAAATTCCTGGCCCACTCACTGCACATGAATGCTCTGAAGGTGGCAGTTTAATGACAACACAAAGGTCACCGAAATCTATTGCTCTTGATGGTGGTGAGGAATTTGGAACAAGCGATGAACTCGTCAAGAAGATCATGAAAGGTGCCAGGTGGTAAATAGAACTGTTACATTGTTATTGCATACCATTGGTGGAATTTGGGTAGCCTGTGGGTATTAATGACGGCCGCATAACGGTACGATAACATCCATGACTTTATTCGGCTACCTAGAGATGTTCGCTCGTCATAAATCGCAAGATAGTTATCCGACCGACCCAGTTGTCGACGTCACCTAATTAGTCAAGCACCAACCAATAAGCGCAGGCTGAATGGTAGTCCCCTGCTGGAGCACAGATTGCTTTAGTTTGTAGTGCTATATAGATTACGACCTCTGCCTCTCGATTCACCCCATCTTGGATTGGGCAACCTGGCAGTACCCTATCCCTCGCGCAACCTTCGGGTGGCTTGGCAGTTAGGCCCCTGAAGGGTGCTACAGCTGAACGTTTGGGGACAAGACGGCCCAAGTGGTTAGAGCGCGAATTTACTGACCGGAAGGTTCATGGTTCGAACCCGACCTCTGTCCCTCGACTTCCCCTGTCTAGGCAGTATCGCAGCCCTCGTGCTTCTTGCGGGTGGCATGGCAGCTAGGCACCGAAAGGGTGCTACAGCTGAGCGATGATTTATTATTATATAGATTAACTCCAGCTTCAATTTTAGATTGTTTCTGTCACCCTGGATGTTTTATTTGCTTACTACAGGTGCCCTTTCTCTGTCTGTACGTGACACCGAATCTCAACGGGGTGAGACAGTAAAGCACTATAAAATCAAACAGCTTAGCGACACGGGACAAGTGTGTATTACAACCAAACAAGTTTTCCCCGATCTCAAAGCGTTGGTCACCCACTATTCCGCCAATGCTGACGGGCTGTGCTGCTGCCTGACCAGACCTTGTCCACGTCCACCTCCTTTGCCGACCGACCTTTCAAGGTCAACTCGTGATCACTGGGAAATCCCTCGATCATCATTGGTCCTACTTGAGCAGCTCGGTGCTGGACAGTTTGGAGAAGTTTGGAAAGGTAAGATGTTTATCACAATTTCCCTTCATTTCATGTTGTTATTTCTATACGTATCTCTCCTCGAAGCCCTTTTTAGACTCTTTTAATTTTGCGGGGATCGGAACTGTCGTGTCATTCAGCCTTACTACTCCTGAGGTTTTGTAACCAACAAGTGAAAAGTAGCGTGATCTCCTTTAGCAGTGTAGTAAAACTCATCGCGTACGATCTTTCCCGGCACAGCTTGTAAAACGATGTGAAGTATATTATACACCACCTAAGTAGGTTTAATATGGGACCAATCAATAAATCGAAGGCGAGCTCACAGTCGCCTTGAGGTGGTTCTGAGTGCTTGATACTATTAGCTGGAGGAACTTCAATCTGCGTTGACCTTTGCCCCATGGAGACACCTGAAAAGAGGGCTCGGGTGCACCTGTTCCCATGGAGACACCTGAAAAGAGGGCTCGCTTCAGCTAGGTCCTGTGTTTACTGCGATTAATGCTTTCACACTGGACTAACCACATCATTCATATTCATTTAAAACACTGGTAGAGCCCTTAGGGACTCCACTTGGGATTGCGCATTCTTTAGGTACACGAAAAATGCCGCTACGAATCATTTGTGCTGTCACACATGTCTTGGTCTGAAATTCCTGGCCCACTCACTGCACATGAATGCTCTGAAGGTGGCAGTTTAATGACAACACAAAGGTCACCGAAATCTATTGCTCTTGATGGTGGTGAGGAATTTGGAACAAGCGATGAACTCGTCAAGAAGATCATGAAAGGTGCCAGGTGGTAAATAGAACTGTTACATTGTTATTGCATACCATTGGTGGAATTTGGGTAGCCTGTGGGTATTAATGACGGCCGCATAACGGTACGATAACATCCATGACTTTATTCGGCTACCTAGAGATGTTCGCTCGTCATAAATCGCAAGATAGTTATCCGACCGACCCAGTTGTCGACGTCACCTAATTAGTCAAGCACCAACCAATAAGCGCAGGCTGAATGGTAGTCCCCTGCTGGAGCACAGATTGCTTTAGTTTGTAGTGCTATATAGATTACGACCTCTGCCTCTCGATTCACCCCATCTTGGATTGGGCAACCTGGCAGTACCCTATCCCTCGCGCAACCTTCGGGTGGCTTGGCAGTTAGGCCCCTGAAGGGTGCTACAGCTGAACGTTTGGGGACAAGACGGCCCAAGTGGTTAGAGCGCGAATTTACTGACCGGAAGGTTCATGGTTCGAACCCGACCTCTGTCCCTCGACTTCCCCTGTCTAGGCAGTATCGCAGCCCTCGTGCTTCTTGCGGGTGGCATGGCAGCTAGGCACCGAAAGGGTGCTACAGCTGAGCGATGATTTATTATTATATAGATTAACTCCAGCTTCAATTTTAGATTGTTTCTGTCACCCTGGATGTTTTATTTGCTTACTACAGGTGCCCTTTCTCTGTCTGTACGTGACACCGAATCTCAACGGGGTGAGACAGTAAAGCACTATAAAATCAAACAGCTTAGCGACACGGGACAAGTGTGTATTACAACCAAACAAGTTTTCCCCGATCTCAAAGCGTTGGTCACCCACTATTCCGCCAATGCTGACGGGCTGTGCTGCTGCCTGACCAGACCTTGTCCACGTCCACCTCCTTTGCCGACCGACCTTTCAAGGTCAACTCGTGATCACTGGGAAATCCCTCGATCATCATTGGTCCTACTTGAGCAGCTCGGTGCTGGACAGTTTGGAGAAGTTTGGAAAGGTAAGATGTTTATCACAATTTCCCTTCATTTCATGTTGTTATTTCCATACGTATCTCTCCTCGAAGCCCTTTTTAGACTCTTTTAATTTTGCGGGGATCGGAACTGTCGTGTCATTCAGCCTTACTACTCCTGAGGTTTTGTAACCAACAAGTGAAAAGTAGCGTGATCCCCTTTGGCAGTGTAGTAAAACTCATCGCGTACGATCTTTCCCGGCACAGCTTGTAAAACGATGTGAAGTATATTATACACCACCTAAGTAGGTTTAATATGGGACCAATCAATAAATCGAAGGCGAGCTCACAGTCGCCTTGAGGTGGTTCTGAGTGCTTGATACTATTAGCTGGAGGAACTTCAATCTGCGTTGACCTTTGCCCCATGGAGACACCTGAAAAGAGGGCTCGGGTGCACCTCTGTGTTGTGTTTACTGCGATTAATGCTTTCACACTGGACTAACCACATCATTCATATTCATTTAAAACACTGGTAGAGCCCTTAGCCACATTGCATTGTGGCTGAATACTTCATCCTATAGTTGACACCGGTACCAGTGTGAGACTCGTTACTTTTGATGGAACGACGTGTTACCTTAACCTCACATGCTGGTCTGTCCAAGTGTTTTTGAGGAGACCCGTATGGAATTTCTGCATAGGATCATGGAGCATTCACCCAAGCTTTCGGTTCATGTGTTTTATCTGAGTCACGGATTGTGAGCGATTCACCATGTCGATTGATGGTAGCTCAGTCGATCGGCAAATAACTTTCAGTATCAAACCAATGTAGACGTATCCCTATATTAGATGGCTACATCACAGAAATTAACACTGGAAACCGTTGAAGTTTTCCCAGTGTCTCTGTGAGACATCTGACTAGCTAGTGTACATTCAGATAGTGATCACACGAGTCGTTCGTCCTGCATCCGTACAGATGACCTGAAAAGTAACAAGCATGGAGTCACCAAATTTGGAATTCGACTGCGCATTCATGGAGAGGGACCGTAATCCTTCCCAAGAGATTCTTCCGAAGATGATCCACCCCCAAGAGAGGCCACAAAACTTTCTTTCGGGAACAATACCAAATATAGTTTACTCCTGGAAAAGTCAGTCTTACAGAATCAACGATGATCACAATGAAGAGCAGTCACTTGATGCTTTAGTTAGCGAGCGTTAATTCTTCGTTTGCAACCTTTGCTTGAAACTTGAGTGGGATGATAGGGCTTTTGTGGCCAACCTACTGATTACATCCCTCCGAATAAATTGCCGTTTTAGCACCTCAGTGCGAGCAAACTCACATCACTGCCCCTTTTATTTTCTAGCCATACACCCTTTCAAACACGGAGGATTGAGCAAAGATGATCGGTTATTTGACCGAAACAGAGTGTTCCTCCACACAGCTTTTTTTCTTCGATTTCAGGAAGGTGGAACGGTTCTATGGACGTCGCGATCAAAACGTTGAAACCCGGTACAATGAGCAAAGAAGATTTTCTCAAGGAGGCTCGCATCATGAAACGGTTACACCATCCGAAACTCGTGCGTCTCTATGCCGTGGTAACAGCGGATCCCATTTATATAGTTACTGAGCTAATGAGTCTTGGTAGCTTACTGCATTACTTGCGGGACGGGCCTGGAAGGAATTTGGAGCTGAAATTGCTGATTGACATGGTGGCTCAGGTCAGTGACCCTGTCTTGATGGCCTTCCAGTTGCCCAAAGTATTTACCTATTTATTTGTGTGGGTGATTCGTCTTCATTGCCCAAATTGATAGTTTCGATAGATCGTTCTAGAAATCAAGTCACTACAACACACCATCTCCGGTGAGGTTCAAATGAAAATGTTCGCTTTGAACTATTTACAGCGCGTTGTTTAACGGTAGGCCAACAGAAGATCGAGAACACATCAGCACCCCGTAGAATAGATCGCCATGTAGGCGAACATACCAACTGCCATCTAGACAGCCTAGGTTTTCGGCATTTCCCCAAGGTGAAGAACCCTATCCCTTTTCATAAAGGAAACGACTCACAAGGTTGCTGAAAGCTCTTCAACAGCCCACGACCGGTTTCGCCCTTGTTGGGGCTCATCAGGCAGGCGCAGTCCCCGAGTTTCTGTTAACCTGATGATCTACTTGAACCCGAATTGCACTGTTTTCGAGGACTACACTCATTTGCAAATCGATTTGGTTTTCACGGGAGACTCAATTGANTCCCCGAGTTTCTGTTAACTTAAATTGGACTGTTTTCGAGAAACACACTCATTTGCAAATCAATTTGGTTTTCACGAGAGAATCAACTGAATCTTTCGTTTATGATATTCTACAACTGAATGTGCTGCAGACAGGCCGCCTCATGATTCAGTTGGCACAGTATATTTTTACAAAGGAAACTACTCACAAGATTGTTGAAAACACTTCGACAGCCTACGACCTGTTTCGCCCCTGTTGGGGCTCATCAGGTAGGCGCAGCCTCAGTTGGAGAGTATCATAAACGAGAGATTCGGTTGAGTCTCCTGTGAGAATCAAACTGATTTGCAAATGAGTGTATTTCTCGGGAACCCTATCCCTTCCCTATGAGTCGTGGTGTCTGCTCCCATTGAGTGCGTCCTTTCTTAGTTCGCACGTACCGGTTTCCAGTCATTAGTATGACCATATCCTGGGGATGGATCGGGCGTTTCCAAGACCTAGCGCAGTTGAGACGTGTCTTGCTTGTAGACCAACCCACCCAGTTCAGTGTTGATATGCACAAAGGTTCGAATAGCACGGGTTCAAGGAATCCACATGAAACGTTTTGGGGACCCGACAAATGTCAGCTAGCTATGATTATGAGTTACACTTTCATCAGCTGCACTTCACTTCAGATGGAGCGTACGGAATTATCAATCATTCGAATTCAAATTGAAACGGGAAGTATACAACGCGCCAACTGGCTGAGGTCTAATACCACCCAGCAATGTGCATCTTCCAGATATGAGCTTAACCTGGGATTTCCATTATTGATGTATTCTTCGGACTACTCATTCCGGGCTAGCACAGACTTCTGTGAAAGGAACGCTCAAAACGTCCCGGACGTACTTTCGCTACTTAGACTCAGGAAAATAGCTGTACATGCCTGTTTGCTGAAAGAAATCCTAAACCAAATGGTATAGGAGGCAGCTGTATGGATTTTACAGGGTGTCTCATAATAGACGCAAAAGTTAATTGGGTGAGTAAACGTAACCAATTAAAGAAAAGATGACAAAATTTTTTATTATTAGTAGACACATAAAGGTTTTGTGTTCAAGTGTTGGCATTTTTTGTTTACGATCGATGTCAGCACGCGCACTGAAATTGTGAAACTAATATTCCCTTCGTGAAAGCTGCCTTTCATGGTTACAAAACTAAACAGGGTCTCATCAAAGATCCTTTCACCGTGTCGACCATTACACGCTTGATTGCAAAATCTTGACTCTACTGGATCTGTAATGAATTTTCCTGGCAAAGGGAGAAAGTCTCTGAGTGATGAAAGAGCGCCCATTGTACAGAATGCCATCGAGCAACTTCAGTCCCAGAGCACCATGGCATCTTGGTCAAAAACTCAGGTGTCTCAGTTGACCGGCATTCCCGCACCAGCGTGCATCGTGTTATGAGAAGTCATCGACTGTCTTCCAACAAGATGGCGCTCCACCATATTACTCAAACCAAGTGAGAACTTACCTCTGAGAGTAATTTTCTGATGAGAGAGTCATTGCTCGTGGATTTCTAAACTTTTGACCAACAAGGTCAGCCGATCTCACACCTCTGGATTATTGGTTTTTGGGAGTGATCAAGGTTCGCGTATAGCATGAAAACAAACCGAAGAATTTAGTGGAGTTAAGAACAAGAATTGAAGAGGAGTGTGCACGAGTGACGCTTGGAGAAGTTAAACATTTAGTGTCTCACATTTCATACCGCCTCCAACTTGTTATAGAAGAAAGTGGCGGTTTTTTCAACATCTTTTGTAATGCCTGATTATTCACAGTAAACCTCCATGATGCGCGTATACCTAGTTAAAAAAATGATAAATGTTTGAATTGATGTTGAAGTTAACGTGGGTATTATTTTTTGCGTCTATTATGAGACACCCTGTACTGTCGACTACCACGGTTCTAATGTCTTATGCCGATCGACTGCAGTCAGTAAGCCATTCGTAAACGACAAGAGTGGCTACTTCATCTTTCGCAAATTCAGCGTTTCACAAAATGTCACATGCGTATCCAGTTTGAACTGTCTTCGCAAACTGTGTTGTACTCATAAAACAAGACAGTCTCCCTAACTGGCACCATCTGTTGCATTCGTCCTTCCAGATTGCTAGCGGCATGGCACACTTAGAAAAAGAGCGATATATTCATCGCGATCTGGCAGCTCGAAACGTCCTGGTGAGCGAGAACAACACCGTCAAGGTCGCCGATTTCGGTTTGGCACGAATAATCGATACTGCCAGTGAAACGTACACAGCCAAACAAGTGAGAATAGTCCCTTTTTTATTTCACACATCTGGTTACCAACCTTCTGGGTTGTTTTTTGGCAGTCACAGAGATATCCCCATGGTAATGCAAACAAGTGGAAACGAATGAAAATTTTTAACGGGTTGCGTGAGACTCAACTGCCTAATTACTGTCAGTATTGTCACGCCATTATGTATAACATTCAGTCGCTTGCGGAATTGAACACTTAGTTGTATTTTTTTTCAGCTTAGATAGTATTAGCTAAGCAACAGGATTCGTGAATTGATGCTGACTACGTGTGAACACAAAGGACTATGCGCTAAACAGACGAGCGAATTGTTGTGTGCCATTTATTAGCTTGTTTTGTGTGATAGACGTAAAAGAATGAATGTCTGAGTTACGGTAAAGACAGGGTTCGTCACAAATTATCGTACCTAACATTATTGGCGAGGAAACGAACGTCAATCTCATAAGGGTGGCCTCGTCTTGGGAAAGTATTGACGCCTGTAGAAATAGACGTTTCCTTGCCCGGACATGTAAACGGTATGTCATCACACAGCGGGTGAAACCTATTGAACGAGCGAATGAGAACGGAGTTTCATTCCATACTGGCCAATAAAATCAAACTATGCCGCACCGATTGAGACTTAACTGAAGCCGAAAGTGTAGATACTTTTCACATCAGCTCATCAGACAAGAGTACAACAGATAATCAAGACTTGGTTGGATTCGGAGAAGCGCGGGCACATGGGAATTCTTCAGCTTGTTGGAGGTTATCAGGATCGATCATCTGGTACGATAAACACGAGTAGGTAGGTTGTTTGACTCAGTCAGACGTTTGTTAAAAAAGAAAACAGATGTACAAAAATGCTCAGGGAAAGCTTGGTTCGTAGATCAATGGATGGAAGGTCCTGATGCACTCCAGTAGAGGTAAAACGTCTCACGAAAAGCAGACATCTTTGTTGATAGTATCCACATGAGTTCTAGGCCTACGACCGGGTAGACATCAGGTGCTTGGTAGGGGGTCAATGTCCAGTTGTGATCCGCCATCTGACAAGTCAGGAATGCATATAATGCAAAGTTTAATGTTCCATTCGCGTCCGGGATGCTTTGTACGGTCGAACAGTACGCCGTATGCAGCAGTGATAGTAAAACACAAGTCTTTTCCAGATAAGCCCCGCCAAAAAACTAACCCCCGCCACCTAAAAGAGGATATGAAATTTGTACTTTTTGTTTTTATTGAAGAGGGTGAAACGGGAACATGTCATTAATAATTTGCGTGAAAAGGTCCGCTTTTCGGTACTTTTGCCTCCAAACGAACTGATACAAGTGGCTGTTCACCTCTTTAGTTTCCCGGCAGATCCCTCTGAAAATCCACTGCTGGGGGATGATTCGCCCTGCGTGTTTTTTACGGCGAGATCGAATAGAATTACTGTCCTAAACTCCTAGACCTCTCCAGCCAAGTTCCCTTTTGAAAACCGGTTTCTTGCCGACACTGTCTCCATTACACCTCTACCTGTCGGAAACAGTTGAAAGTGGCATTTGGTGGCAATTGTTGCACAAACGTTGCTGATGGATCACTCCGTGGCTCTGCAAGAAACGCATTGCCGTCTCCTTGTCATGAACGAGAGTTGAAAGCGCTAGAAAGTCCATGTGAGGTTTTACGTCTGAACGGAGAACATTTTCACACAAAACGAGCCTAGATGAGGATAAGGAATTGTTTTCATCAAAAATAGGTCAAGGTGCGTACACTAAACTGAAGCTGGCAAAAAGTGGTGGGGCTTGAATTATGTACATGCACTTTTTGCGTTAGTGGCGGGGCTTATCTGGAAAAGATTTCAGATCATCGCTTTCCGCGTCCAAATTTCTGTGACAAGTCGTCGGTTTATTGCATAATCACTGGTATTTGCAACATCGGAAAATTCACCCGCATTCAGTTGGATTACAAATGTTTTCGATACTTTGGACAGATTACCCTTATTCAGAACTCTCGACATCAGAATAAGGCTGGCAAAACGCTTAGATCAGTCCGCACAGTGATAACAGCTGTCCATTCAATCGTCACACCCACGATCGCACAGTGCACTAAAACCATTCACGTTGGATTGACCGGTGATCACGAAGCGCTTGGGTGCTACTCGCCTTCCAGGATGGGGACCGCGTGACCCTCACTGTGAATGGTTGGAGACACTACAAGATATGGCTGCCAACCGATGTCAGTGGCGTTCTTGTTGTCAGTTTCTATCCAGATTGCCTGAGTGAATTTCTGGAGGTGTAGATACCTCGGAATGGTTGTGGTTAGCTAGAACTAAGTCCCTTTCCCCGTCCACCTTTACTCTTTTCTTTACAATAAGGCTTTCAAATAAATCATGGTTGTACGGCAGTGAAGCATCGGTGTTGAACACTGATGTCATGCTGTCGATGATGATGACCGGTGTAGTGCAGTGTGAAAGTCACTTAAATGATGAGCTCTTTCCACCCTCTACGTCAAGTACTTTCAGAACTGTGATTGAAACTCCACGTGACAGGACCCAACAGTTTCCCATATGTTTGTGTGCTCACCACAGCTAACCAACAGCGATCAAATAAATGTGCACATTAGGCTTGTCTTCGTTCAATCAATAGAATACTAACCACCTACCTTTCTTTTTTAAACAAACAGGGTGCACAATTTCCTATCAAATGGACAGCTCCTGAAGCCGCATTACTTGGACGTTTCACTGTCAAGTCAGATGTCTGGTCATTTGGTATTGTGATATATGAGATAATCACACATGGCCAGACGCCGTATCCGTCTATGAATAACACACAAACATTACAGCAAGTCGAAAGCGGTTACCGGATGCCCCGTCCGCCCGCATGTCCTGACCCTGTATACCAGGTAATGCTTAGAACATGGGATACGATACCCGATAAACGACCATCCTTTGACTCCCTGTGTACATATTTTGAGGATTACTTTAGCAACGCGGAACGAACCTACAAACCCACAGATCAGAAACAGTACCAACATAGTCAGAAAGATGATGATAGTGTGGAATGGACAACAGGCGCGTTTGGCTCACGTCATCCCCGTTGGGACCAGTGGACAAATCGAATACCGATACCACGCGAAACAACCGCCATGGTCTAACATCAAACAGGTCGTCCACTATTCCAGGAGCAAGAGTCCTAGTACGTATTTCAAATCGAACGTCTTGCCTGGTGCTTGGAGCAACTCACTTTGCACAAGCAGTGCACATTCTACGTCAGTTTTAGACAATCAGCGCCTCGACAACCGCGTTCGCTTCAAACATACTGGTGGGAAATGACACTGATCCACTTGTCTTTCTATTTTCTATTCTATTCTCAGTCAGTAATGGTATATTTCAAATGGACTTCTTGAGACCGTGTGTTTACACTGACAACCAAAGTTCCGACTCAAAGTATTCCCTGTATTATTTAGCTTGTCCGGATCACTTAGCACTACCGAAAATCTGTGAATAGGCTTGAAGTACAACCGTACTTTCATTTTCTCGGTCTTTCATTGGAGGGGGGCTACAAGGACGATACTATCATGCAGAAGAAAGTTCAACAAACGGTACGGGAGGTCTTATTAGCTTAATAGCGCCCTTTCACGGGAAGTTATACCACACGTGGCTCGGTGTAAATCAGGGTGAGTCGTCACGGGCGTTAAGATCATTCGAATGAGAAGGCACCGATAGGCAGACAACTGATCATCTATCAATAATAATCTGTCTATTATCTGTTGTCCAATTGGAAGCTTATGTGGATACCCAACAGCAAACACCGGGCTTCGCAGCGGTCACAATGTACAGGATGGGACAAACAATCAGATAAGCAAGGCATACAGGAGTTGATGCTTGCCACAAAGCGAAATATCTGTTTCTACACTGCACGTGAACCAACATTAGACGGAGTACGACTGACATGGACCCTTCAAAGGTCAACTACACCAGTGACAACCAAATTATGACAGAGATTTGGCCAAATTCTCATGTACGAAGTTAAAAACCTCTCACCATGTCCATTGTTGACAGCCAGCTTAGGAAGAATCTGGCTTTACATTACGTATCAGGCAATATAGCCCTGTTGAAAACCAGAAGACCAAACGGCAGGACCCACCCGATTGCGCACTGATGTCCCAAACAATCAGATAAGCAAGGCATACAGGAGTTGATGCTTGCCACAAAGCGAAATATCTGTTTCTACACTGCACGTGAACCAACATTAGACGGAGTACGACTGACATGGACCCTTCAAAGGTCAACTACACCAGTGACAACCAAATTATGACAGAGATTTGGCCAAATTCTCATGTACGAAGTTAAAAACCTCTCACCATGTCCATTGTTGACAGCCAGCTTAGGAAGAATCTGGCTTTACATTACGTATCAGGCAATATAGCCCTGTTGAAAACCAGAAGACCAAACGGCAGGACCCACCCGATTGCGCACTGATGTCCCATCGTATGCGAACGAAACGTTTGCAAGCTCGGCGAACAGATCAACAGCTACCTGAGCAACAACGGCAGGACGTCCTGAAACCAATTGGGAATGGAGCGGCACAAACAGAGGACTTCAGTGGAAAACACCAAGAACACATAAGCTGTATTAACCTTACACTCAGCAGTCCCGCACAACAACAGTCTGAGGTGCCTAACTGACTTGCCGCATTAAGTCCAGGCAACCACTTGGCTGCTAATCAGTTAAGCTAACCAGAACTGGACGATCTTCGCGGATTTTTAAGCGTTGCGGTTCGCAGCGTTGGACAAAAACAAGGAAGCACTGATGCCCAGCGCCCGTATCCTTACAGGTCAGTCCAGCTTCGCTGAACTATAAACCATGCACAACGAGTACAATGGCTCCTTTAACTGGGAAGTTGGGGAGTAAAGAAGATATCTTCCAGCGTCATTAGTCAAGTCCCAGGGTCCCCATCATAGAGGTAGCAGTTGTCGATCCGACTAAATTTACTAGCTAGTGCGTGCATACTTCGTTGTCAGGTCGTAGACCGTCCATCTGACAGCAGTTACCATTCAGCAAAAGGCTGGACGGGTCTGTCTGAGATAGAGGACCCGCTCACATGTTCAAACTAGAGCAGCATATGAAGCAAGAGTAGATCATCCATCGCGGAAGGACTCCTTTTCCCCAAAACCATCCGGAATCGCTATTTCGGGGAAGCCACAGTCACGGTCGACCTCATTGACCCACAGCATTGATACCCCCTACTACTTTTAAAAGTATCAGTAGTGCACAAATTAAGCGTCATACAACTGCAAGCAGATATGGTTGCCCCGATGGCAGTAGCAGAATCGGCCGTCCGGGCTCAACACCCACACATTTAACCGTAAGGAGAATGCGTGTGAAAAGCAGTTGCACACATCAAATCGCGCGAGAATGCCAGAAGCGAAAGTAGAGATAAGGAAATCCTCATCAGTGTTGAAAGGCCCCAGTCCTTGCATTTTTGACTGGCTCCGCCAACTACATATGGATAAGCCGTTCAAAACGAGTTTAAGCAATATACACAGGTAGCAGGCCCAAGACACCCATGCCTTTATATCATTTTCACGACGAGGAAAACACGAGCATCGGGGACAAGTAAGGGGATGCACAAATCAAGTCAGATATAAAAGCACACTACTTCCAAGCCGCGTGTTGCCCCAAGAGGTCCTCTGACTTAAACAGAAACATCCAGATGTAACCGCTACGCTCCATATAAAAAAAACAGTCAGTGGAAATTAAAACAGCGTTTTCGGAGTGACAAAGTCCACGATGCGAAGTCCTCTTCAAGGGGATTGACGTACACAAACGACCGATCGGGTTTAGACACACATCAACTAAAGCTGGCGTCACAAAGTACGGTGTAGTGCTCGAATGACACACTCTTAGATTACCTGAAAAAAGTTCCACCATACCAGAAATTTGATAGAAAGATAACCCAGGGACATAAAAGCCTATCTTACAACGGACAAAGATAAAACAAGACAATACAGAAACACAGGTGCAAGTATGAGCGTCATCCGGGATTTCCTCGTTTCGAACGGGTACTTCGGACAGATCGCAGAGAACAGGTGGACAATTCCGAAGCGGCAATCGATTGAACAGTCTGGTCATTTCGTCCGACTCGTCTGGCTCTGGTAAACCGACCGCCTAACACGGTCCGTATGGCGGCCAGTTTTTCTTTCATCATCAGCTCTGTCGTCTCTACCGATTTCTCCTTATGCCAATGCAAGTAGTTGGCATAGCGTATGATATCCATATGAAGGCCCTCGCGAGCTGTCATCTCCTCGTAGGGTTTTGATGTCAGAAACGGACAGTTTGGTGAGTGTGACTTGTGTTCTTTTTCAGGGTCGTCCTGAGGGGGAAAACGGTAAAAGCCATTGTGTGGTGACTAGGTAGTTCGTGCGGTGGAAAGTGATAATCTACGTTGGACACCGCCTCACTACTACATATTACCTGCGAGCTTCCGGGGACGGGAGACATCGCCTTTACCTGATCACTAAAGGGGCACGAAAAACTCGAAGGCACCAAGACCACATGCTCTTTTTTAATTAGGTTGAATACAATTGAGCAATTCCAAAATGAAATGAAAAATCATTGACGATGTATCCATTGGACAAGCATCAAATGACTTTACTAGATATACTCGGTGTTCGCTGATATGGTAAGATGTTATGTTATCCTTTCATTAGGGACTCTTTGTAAGACTTGATGAGTGTCCCCTTCTGAGAAGAGGCCCTTATCCAGCAGGACCCACATCCCAACAGTTATCTGGTAACTGAATACCCCTTGAGTGGAATACGCTTATCTTTAAAAATACCTTTTAGTTGAGCCACACGATGGTTCACCGATGTGAGATATTTCAACAAGGGGTCATTTATCCACAAAATTCCATCACGTAAAGCAGGTAATACGTGTTTTCTCATCCACCATTTAGCTACTTGGATGCCAGAGTTCTGACTTTACCATAACAAATAGAAGACTAGCTACGTCATATTCTGAAAAACAAATTGTCAAAGCGAGTATATTGGTTGATCGTTGTGACCCACTTAATCGAACGCAATTCAGCAGTACCAAACAGCTTTCAGGAATTCGACTCAACAAGCGTTTGCAATATTCAAAATGTGGAAATTAATTCGAAAATTAGATAAGCTGTCATCTCGGTACCTGTCTAGTTGGGCCAAGTCTTCTTCAAAGGGGAACGGAGCTAATTTCCTAAACCACTGTATCTAATTATTTCGCAGTGGCTAGTGGAGGTAGCATGTGATCGGACAGAGGAACAACACCCTAGTCCATTCTGAGTGTTCGTTCCGGTTATACGCGCAATTTTCCATGGGACACTTGTATTTTTTGAAACGAATTATGGACAGAATGTGAATGTACAAACTTTCTGGCCATTGATGACGCAAAGGGGCATAACGAAGGTGGGCGTTCAAGGTTGTGTGAGTGGCCTGAAGAGGTAATTTGATATACGGTGCGGATGGTAATACTCTTCCGCTGACTGGGACGATGTGCTCCACTTGTTAGGTTGCCCTCTGAGAGCTGTTTTTCGTAAGACCCTTCAGTATTTGCTGATGTATCGACGATTGGCCTGTCACATGGCATCAGCCAATTCCGCATCCCTCGTTTTTTTCGAGCAACCAAATCAAGCAGACCCTGAATGATTTAACCACACGTATCTGCAAGTGGTAAAAATGATTTCTCATAAGTATGCGCTGTCTACTTTGCCGGGCTTAATACCTGAGCGTCTGTGATTACACGAAAGGTAGATAAAACTGCAGAAGGCATTAAGCTAAGGCTATCTGTGGCAACTTGTGTCGCAGTGTTGCCTCTCATCCCTGACTCGTCTGGAAGCCACAATTTCCTCTCGCGAAAAAAAGCAAGCGTTTACTCAACCTTTTGCCCCTACTCCTTGTCTTCTTCCCTCTTTTCTACCGGCATACTCAGTTTCTCCGGCACATTTGCTTTCGCCAATTAGCATTGCGATTGGTGTTCGCCGATCCTCATCAGAACTGAGCACGCACGTTCCGGATGACATCCGCTGTATTTTGTTTTTGAGCTTGTCCCGACCATTTCATAAATCAGCCGTTCATCCTTAATCACTGCTGTTTATCCTTCAGAACAAATTTCTTATCCCCAAGTGTGCCCCACTCCTATCTGAAGAACAGCAAGTCAACCTCCATTGACGAAAATTTTGTCTAAGGTTATTGAATTGATCTTGACCAGGCAACTGCTCCGTGATCTTGAATACAAAGCCTTCTGGAGTACACAAATGATGAAAGAAACCGTTCACTTATAACATGTTTTCATTCCCCAGCTGTCATGCCACCCGAAGGAAGCACGAATATTAAGATACTGTCACGCCGCCCAGGAGCGGTCGAGGCACCGACATTGGGTAACACGGACCTTCCGTTCAGAAAGTACATGCCTTGCCCATTGAGTAACTAAAGGAAGAGTACAAACACCACTGTTCCACAGGCGATAAGAGGAATAACTTATCACACGATTCTTGTTGCGCTCTAGAATGTTTGGTGAAACAGATGCAGTCGCTTCGATACACTGAAGACGCTTGATAAGGTCAACATCCATCATCATCATCACCATCGTCTGTTATCGTCCGTTACGGTTTTTACACGTAATTTTATAAAACGCCATTCTGTAGTATTCTTCGAGAAAACTTGGTGGCCAGGAGGCGAAGTTACCAACCGCAAGGTTTGTGGCATCTCGACTGCTTCTGTTGAGGCTTCAGTAACTTGGCAGCTTCTTCTCAGCCCTCGTGTAACATAGCAGCTAGGCACTGAAAGCAGTTAGGCAGTTGTCTATCGATCTTTTATCCGCCATTTGTGCAGTGACTACTCATTGAACGAAACGGTTTAGTAACATGGGGAACACGGATCTGTAACCGGGAAGCAACCAATGAGCCGTCCAGCTGTGTTTCCGTGATCGGACAGTGGGACTACCAGCGGAACCAAAACCAGAATTAAACACTTTCCCGGAGGAGATTACCCATAAGGTTGCTGAAAAATCCTAGACGGCCCACGAACATCACAAACGAGAGACTCAGCTGGGATTCAATTAAGTCGTCCGTGGAGTCCAAGGTGGTATACAAAATAGTGTATTTGCAGATGGTGGGGGGGAAATTATTGATCGCGAACCAAACCTCTGCCTCTCGACGTCCCGTTGAATCACTTTACGCTAAGTAATCAAGCGTAGAAATATGCCACCTTCAGTTTACTAGTAGGGTTCCACGTCGGACAAATTTGCCTCGGTTGCGGATGCGCAGGATTGAAAGGGTCAAAGAGAGTTAAGTCTATAACCCAGTGATGGAGTGTGAAGGCAACAGATAGCTAAATTAGCTTGACTAGCAAGTGGAACTCCTAGGAAGGAAACCCGACATATGATAAACCAAACGGCAGTAACATCGACAGTCACAATTTAGCCACGCAACTCATGGCACGTATGCCACTTATCTCACAGCACAAATATGAATCCAAATATCACCAACATAGGCGCCCTTGGAATAAATAGACACCGGCCACTGCCTAAAATAGGTGGATATTCACTTCCATTCTCGGAACCGTCTGGAAATGGAAGTGTGGTTCCAAGTATAACTGCAAAACACGCATATGGGCTACAGTTAATGAGGGTATTTGTGCTGGTGTCGGTGAAGATAGGAATGATTATGTCGAGGACCTTGATGGCGAGATGTCTCAGTGGTTAGAGTTCGAATTTACCGACTGGAAGGTCCATGGTTCGAACCAGACTAAGCTTATGATAACGCTGTTTCAGCAACGAACAACGCACAGTTATTCCGCATGAGACGAATAAACGGACTTTAGCTGTTCGGTCATCTTTCCCTGCCCGTTGATGAACTCCGGGCAACTTACAACTGCTAAGCTCAACGCAGCTGCTAGTGGGCAATATGGCTCAGTGGTTAGAGCGCTCATTTACTGAACACAAGGTTCGTGGTTCCAACTCGACCCGTCTCTCGGCTTCCCCTGTCTAGGCTTGGGCAACCTGGCAGTATCCCGGCCCTCGTGCTTCCTTCTAGTGGCGTGGCAGTTAGGCACCGAAAGGTTACTACAGCTGAACGATTTTTTATGAACTTCAGATGGCTCATGGGCTAAGGTGGCAGCTCCTGACAGAAAAGTTGGATCTTCCAGGATTTTTTGATTGCTTGGAAAACCTGAAACTTTTTAATCCCATGACGTGTTTCCTTCATACGGCGTAATAAATGTGCATTGAAGTGGTGAGTAGCTGATCGATTAGATATTTCATATAACTCCTTAGGTAGCGTTCAAAACTGCGGCCAACTACAGTGGGGAACATAAAAATTATGAAAGGCATCTACATATATAGGGTGTATTGGAAGGCTTACGTCAGGTTCCCAACCATCGAGCTCTTTGAAACAAACGAAGCACTGAGCGAGGTCTTCTGAACCATTTTTCGGATGAAAAAATCCACTATGAGCCATCCGATCAGCCGTGCAGTTACATTTATTGTCAAAAGGCCAACAAGAAAAGGTCTTCAAACGAAAGTCGAATGAACATAGATCACGAATGAATTTCGCATCTTCATCGAGCGTCAAAGACATCTACTGAAAAGAAAATCAAAACGGGTTTAACATCTTTTAAAATCAACTGCTATCTCAGCGACTTCCTTGCACCCTGCGTGAGGATAAGCCGGCGTTTTGGATAACTCGAATCTCGGCTGCCTAAGCATGACTGTTGATCGCAAGACTTCCACAAGTCTTAACTCAATGTTGTTTCATGGAGTGGGCGCGTAGACTCAAATGTTGAATATTGGACTTGACAGCGGTAACCTGTTTCCAGTAGCTAAACGACAACGACAATATTAGCGTGACCAGATGGCCGAGGTGATCGAATCCTCTCGAGTATCAACAACTGCTGCTGAAAGAATGCTTCAGCCATCAGTGACGCTGGACGACAGTTCGAAAGTCGGGTGTGAACATTGGGATGGTGTCTTCTCGTTTTGCTTTCGTAGTTGTGAGTGAACAGGGGAAAAATCGCCTCTCCCAAATCACGGCACCTAATCTACTGGGCACCAATTAAGTCATCATGAATGAGGAAATTTAAGGAAAACATGTTCCGCCTATAAAGATTTACTTCGTAGATCGACTAGCATGGACCTGAGACAACAATGCAAACGCCCATGTCGGTTAGTTTCTAAGTCAGTCGTCTAGGCAGGGCGGGTGCAAGCTGTCTCCTTCAGGTTGGATGGCAGCTGTGCACCAGCTTTATCACTTTGCACAGCCAATTAGCCATGCCACCACTGAACCATCATTTTTCTTCACAGGAGGCCTTCCGTGAGGGTCAAAGACTTCCAGCATCATCCAGGAAGGGGGGCACCAAATAATGCCACGGAGTCTCGAAGCCGATGCACCTTTCCTGACCGGATTTTAGGTTGCAAGTTATCGACTCTCAGTGACTGCGGATAACTCAAGACCCAAAATAAACTTTGAGTTACTCGGCTGGAAGCAAGTGAGGACGCCGAGGTGTTAGGTTGGAGTGAGAAAATTACAGTCAGTGTGACCATTAGCACCTCACTTCAGTCATCATGAAACACACCAACGCGTGTCCCGTCGTCAATCGTCTTAGCCCACTTCTTGCGAACCAGATTCCCCACGCATATGTGACGCTTGTGGAGCCTATTTTGGCTGGGGATGGTAAAAAGCTTACGCCGCTGTAGTGCCGTTTTCTAGATTCTCTCTGGAGTCTTGCAGCCGGTATCAGACTGACAAGTTTCGGGGATGAGGTGATGACCTTGGCATATGGTCTTAAGGGTGATCTGCTGTTTCAAAAATTGACCATCAAAACAATCCAGTATAGCAAAAAAGAGATGCCGTTCTTTCCGGAAGTCTTGAGGAACCCCGACTCGCCTAAAGTTGTGGCAGTGTAGATTCAGGCTACTGAGTAGGCTCCTGATATATTCTGGTGAGTATAAACCATCCAGAAGGGCAACAGCAGCCGGAGAGTAACAATTTAGTAACCTAAACTGAGTGGTAGAACTGAGGTGGTAGAACATGTAGCGCAGGATACTCCATTCTTCACTAATTTGTCGGCGCTATCCAGGAGCAGGAGGAACCCCGAAGCTCCATATAGTCCTGCGTTGGACATAGGAACAAAGATGCTTAGGAGTGTAAGATTACTCCCATTTGTTCGCTCCTAGAGCGTATAGCGGTTATTGTCGTTCTCCGAAGTACCTAGGTCATCATCATCACCATCATCAAAGACAGCAACATCAGTGTTGCCACTGATGCTTCACTGGTGTAACCTAGGTTTTCATGGCCCATCCGAGAATCCCTCAGTTCAGAATCAACCCGTGGTAGTTCCTTTAGAAAGATCGCGTCTAGTGATATCAGGATGATCATCGAAGGTAGTAACATCAGAGCTGACATTGATCCTTCACTGTCGTGACAGAGATATCCGGTGCTGGCCTATCGCATGATTTATGAGATACCTACACCTCCAAACACTCAGTCAGGTAATTCGGAAAGAAACTGACAGCACGAACGCCACTGACATCGATTAGCTGCCAGTTTTTGCAATGTCTCCAGTCAAGCGCAGTGGCATCACGAGACGTCATCCTAGAAGCCGAAGCGCACCAACGACTAGGCCATCCATAATTTCCACACCCTTATGCCGAGTCATACGTTGTCCAGCTGGTGGTTTCCGCCACTCTGAAGGAGGTACAGAATCCAACACTCATCTCGGTAGACGATGTTTCGGCACGCACATCACATGGCCAAGCTACCGTAGTTGATGGTGCTGGATGTTTCCGGCGAAGCACCTGTTGCACAAGAAAATACACGTTTTCTAGTTACCTCGCCACGAATTCGTTTACAGTATCCGATATCAGTAACAGTTTTGAGGCACGGTGGTCAGCAACCTGGAGACACCTCACATCATCTGTCGGTTACTGCTATGTTTCTTAACCAGAGAACAGTCCGGTTCCAACCAACGCATTTTCTGGTGTTGGACACGTTCTTCGATGGAAGTACCCGTTGCACAACCCAAAACTCGCCTTCTACTTGTCTCGTTACGGATTCGCCGACACGAACCCACACGAGCTATGACTCTGAGTCGACGATTGTCGACCACCTGAAGACGCCTCAGTTCCGCTGCTCGAATAGGCCAAGTCTCAGCCATACAAACAGTGTGCACTGTAGCCTGATACACACTTCCCTTGGGACACAGGAATATATCATTTTGACGCCATAGGTGTCTCAAATTAGCAAACGCCACTCGAGCCTTGCAGATTCGTGCATTGGCCTCATCTGTCACAATAAAATCAGAACTAATACAAATTCCAGGATACGTAAAACGCCCCATGACTTCGAGTGCCCCTCCCTGGATTGTAAGTGGCGTGTTCAGTGACTGTATGTTCACGAGCATGACCTTGCACTTTGTGAGTGCAAAGTACATAGCAAAGGACGAGATAACTTTGGTCAGTTCGTCCAAAAACACCTGCGTCTTCTCCTATTCGAAGATGAGAACGATGCCGTCTGTATATTCCAGATCGACAGGGTTTTCCTCACAGGCTACCTGAACTGGGGGCGAGACGGCCCAAGTGGTTAGAGCGTGAATTTACTGACCGGAAGGTCCGTGGTTCGAATCCGACCTCCGCCGCTCGACTTCCCCTGTCTAAGCTTGGGCAACCTGGCAGTATCCCGGCCCTTGTGCTTCCTTCGGGTGGCATGGCAGCTAGGCACCGGAAGGGTGCTACAGCTGAACGCTTTTTACTTGAACACCGGGATTTTGGAGACCTTCCAGTGCTCGTCTCATGATTTCATCGATCACGAAGTTAAACAGGAATGGGGAGAATGAGCATCCCTGACGGACACCACTTTGTGTGCAGAAGCTCTTGGAGAGCTCGCCATATAATCTTACTCGTCCGGAAGTCCTGGAATACAAAATGTCCACAAAGCTCCGGATCATTCCTTGGTGGGCAAGCGTTTCCAGAGGAAACCAATCAACCGAGTCGAATGCGCCTTGGAAATCCAGGAATACAAGAATTGTGGATCGTTTTTACTTACGGTGTTGCTCTAGCACCTGACGGAGTGTGAAGGTTTGACCGACAACACCCTTACCAGGCCGGAATCCCGCTTGCCGCTCACGAGTAAGTGTTTCGCGAGCCATCATAAGGCGATGACACAAAAGTGACGTCAGCAGTCTCGTTACGACTGAGGTCAAGCTGATCCTCCTGTTACGACATTCACTACGAGCCCCTTCTTTGAAAATGGGCATCATCACCGGTTCTATCCTAGTGTCTGTGACAGTTTCCTTTTCCGAAATGCAGGAAAACAGATCGGACAAGTGGCATCTGTTGACTTCATCCCTATCTTTGAACAATACAGGTGGGAGGTCGTCTGGACCAGAAGCTTGGTGGCACTTGCGAAAACACATGTGTAGTGAAAGTTACGCTTTACTGCTATTTCCATTAATTCACTTTCACTTGTCATTTCAGCCTATACTGTGCTTATATGTTGAATAAAGCCTATCCTTAGGCGAAGTCTTCTCATTCTACTCAACGGATCAATAATCGATTAACTAAGTCATCGACTCCCA